GTAGAATTTTCACATGACCCAGCTATATTACACTTGGTCAGTTTCTCAAAAGGGCTCCCAGCTCAACAATAGGAAATGGTGTAAAAAAAATGTGTGTGCGTATATGTATGTATGTATGTATGTATGTATGTATACATATATATGTATATATAGTGGCTCTATCTATCTACAGTGGATTTTTTTTCATTCATAAATAGTGAAGTCATGTCACATGCAGGAAAATATAGCAGCCACAGATGATCACACTGAGCAAATCAAGCCAGCTTCAGAAAGGGACGTTTTCTCTCATTTGTGAGTCCTAGATTTTATATGGATACCTAAAATCATGTATAAATGAATATACAACAAGAAAGTAGGGGTGAAGCTGTCAAGGAGACTAAGAGGACTGAATGGAGGGCGAGGGACAAGCAAAGAGAGGGTAAGGGGACAGGGAGGAGGATGTTCCCATATAATATGTATACTCATCCATTTAAAAAACTTAATTAACTTAAGAAACTTTTAAATTTTTTTAAAGGTTGAAAAAGAGAGTCTGCACATGGCAGGACCCTAGGAGGCGGCAGGGCCCTAGGATGTGGGATTAAGACACAGTGCTCTGGATGCTGCACTGAAGCCCAGGTTTAGGCCTGCCTCCCCACCTCTCAGAAGCCCAGGTCTGCCAGACGCCGGACTTTCTTTTCAGTCATTGTTCTCTTGTCTCACAGAGTCTTCTGGAAGGTCATGTTTTCAGGCCCCTCCCCCTCAGGTAACCAAGCAAGTCTCAGCTTTGATGTGGCCACCTCATGGCACTGCCATCAATGGGCCCACTATCTGACCTGCAGGGCCACCAGGGTTGGCTGCAATGGGTGCGGATGAGGCCTGGACACACAGTCCCACTGTGTGAGGCCCGTTCACACCCACCCAGAGCCTGTGGGCAGTGGGGGGCTCCTAGGAACTCCTTTCCAGCCTGGGGATGAGACAGACAGGGTGGTTTGAGATGCTGTTTGCAGGGCGGCCTCAGGAGCCGCCATCAAAGAGCCTTGGTAGACGAGGCGCCATAATGGGTGGGGAAAGACAGATTCATCTCCCGCCAGGGTCAGTGGAGGAGGAGGCCACGGGGTCACATACTTTGGGTGACCAACCACCAGGGTGGCCTGTGACTGGGGGGGGATCCCTGTCCTGTTACTAGCCACAACTGAAGCTTAGGAAAAGACATGGTCCTCTTTCCTGCTTCCTCTCTATCCGGTGACATCCAAATCAGGCATTTTAAGTAGATATGCCTGGAACCGTGTTGTTAGCTCCCTGCCACCAGCAGGTATGCCCTACGCCTGAGAGTCCAGTTCCCATTTCTCCCAGATGTCTAAGGGGTAGGGTCTGAGATGCCCACTGATCTCAGCCCCTGCTAAGAGAACAGAGGCCAAACAATCAAATGCCTGTCCTGTGCAGGGGATCCTGAGTACATGGCCATCCCCAGGACCACCCAGAGCATCTTTCTCCCCTTGAGATCTTGAGATCTCTGGATCTCACTCTGTTATCTTTCTCTTTGTCCCTTCCTTACCCTTTAAGACTTGGTACAGTTACTCCCACATCCCCTATCTCAGCCACGAACCATCACATCCTTGCCTATGTTGCTGTTGCCCATCTTTTACTCTGCCAGCATGCTCTCCTTATGCTCCCAGGATGGGGACCCATAGGAACCAGCTCCTGGCAGGAGGCCAGCCTTTGCCATCAGTAGAGCAGTTGCTCTGAGCTGGGCCCTCTGCTCATTTGCTTTCGTTCACAGTCCCCACAAGATTGGTGCTGCTACTATCTCCAGCAGAAGGGGAAGCTGAGGCACAGGGTGGGTGAAGAAACCTGCCTGTGTTAGCTAGGAACGGGTAACACACGGGCATGACTTAGAATCCACCTTCAGAACCCAAGCCTGGCAAACTTCTGTGGAATGGCTGAATTAGCAAGTCAAATATATTTCTGTACTGGGGACCCCTAAATCTGCATGCAGGTAGTATGTCCACTTCCTCAGATGCCCCCCCAAAGGCTTCTCCCCTCTACCCCCATGTCTTTGGGAGTGAGACTCAGCTGGTGAAGGAACAATGTTGGGTGGTTAGGGGGGACCTGCTGGTTGGAGGTGCCTCTGACCAAGAAGGGCCTTGAGTAGACTTGGGGTGATGTTGTCAGCTCCCAACAGAGCTAAAGTTGCCCTCTTGAACCCTCCACCATCTCCTTGGCCTTTGCTACAGGTTGGGGTCCTTTTCCTGCCCCCTTTCCTCCTAGGAAAGCCAGGGATATACTGGGTCCTTGAAGGACCGGGTTAAAGGGCAGGACTGAGAAGGCATGAAGGGCAGGCTGGGCAGCTTCTGGGAGTTTCTACTCAAGCCCTGACTCTCAGGAGGCTCAATTGTCTGTCCCCTGTTGATTCCAGAGGCCCTAGATGTCTGCTGCCTGCTGATGCCCGAAGGCAAAGCATGGGAACACAGATACCAGCAAAAACATAGATGAAGTTGTTCTCTTCTGGTCTATGGGCAGAGCTTCATGACAGTGCAGCAAACCACCCCAGGCTGGGGCAGGGCCAGAGGGGTTGGAGGCAGCCTGAGGAGCATCAACTCTAACTCACATGTCCCCTTTACCAATGAAAGAATAGCACTCAGAGATGTCAAGTGCCTGCTTGGAGTCACACAGCACATGGACATTAGAGGCAGGCAGAAGACTGGGCTCTCTGCCAGCACTGCCCAAGTCAGCATACTGATTCCACAGCCTGAGACCGGGAAAGGATCATGGCATTTTCCAGTTCTCTAGGAGACTGGCTGAGGGTCTCTCTGAGGCAGTGAGGAGGGTCAGGCTTTGGAGAGAGCTGGGAAAGTAGACACTGTGGGAGAACAAAGACAGGGGCTCCCTTCTGTGAAACCCCCACAGGGGGACCCCAGAGTCAGAGTGCCAGAACAGCAGCGTTAGAGTTCTTGACCTGAGCAGAAATCCTGGGGGTCCATGAACCCAGCTGGAAATAATGAATTTTCCCTTCTGTTAGCAACTATGAAACAAAATTTAGCATCTTTTCCCACCACGATGGTGTCACCAACGGAAACCACAGAGTGTTTTTGATCTCAAGAAGGTGGTGGCCGATGACCCTTCACTATCTATCGTCAGCAATCATCACCCCAGAGTCACACTGGGTTTTGGATCCACAAGGAGGGCCACCGTCATTCAAGTATCTCCAGAGAGGCCCGAGGTCACAGTTCACAAACGGGCCTTTAGAGACTGGAAAATGTTCCCCTAGGTCTGGTACCCTCGAAAAATCTTTTTGGTTTTGTTATATGTCTGTAATAGTGTGATTTGAGAAGTCCCAGGCATCCTGGGGGTCTAGGATGGTGGATACAGGGGAATCCTGAGGCTGGAGCTATGAGGGCTCTGAATTAGGCAGCCGAGCCTGAGTGGGCAGGTTTAAAGGAGAGAGAGGAGATCAGGCCAGGATGTCTTCTTGGGGTGACAGTGACCTCCTTCCTTTTCCCGTGATTTGGGCCACAGCTGTGGCAGTCCCCTCTTCATACTCCTACTTCCAACTGCCACATCTAGGGGCTTTGTGTTAGGAGCCCACCCAAGGCAGCCAGCACTAGCCCTGTCTTCTAAGGTTTCTTTGTTTTAAGCTCAACTTCTCCATCTTGCTCAGGGAGGGAGAAATACAGATTACAAAGATCCAGCAACTGGTTTTTATAAATTCTTATTTTCTTGCCCAGTAACTGCCTTTAATTAACACTGAAGACTACAAAGGGTGTGCAGTACAACAGCGGTGACTGTGAGGGACAGGACCTGGGGCCACCATTTGTCACCAGCCACAGCCAGGTTTGGAGGGAGTGTTCCTTCTCCCGTGGCTCAATCACCATCTGAGCCTCTGCCTCCCCAGATCACCAGCAAAGAGCTATGTCTTACTGTTAGGCAAATTCTTACCACATGAACCCACAGGTCTCCAGGCCCCCTAGAACCAAATGCTGAGCCCAGCTAGCCAGGCAGGCAGAGCTCTATGTCTCATTTGGCCACCTCAACTCAAAAACGGCAATGTCTTCCAACCCTAGAATTCCAGAACATTCTGCCCCATCTTCTGCAGAGAAGCTTTCCCTTGAGGAGCCCAGACATATTGTCCCACACACAGCTCAGATTACAGAACACCACAGCTAGAGGGGATGCCATCGGGAGCAGAGAGGTTAAGTGACCCATATCAGGTCACTCACTGAGGTTGGCACAGCCTGGGGCTGAAGTTTGGGGATCACAATCTCCTGATCTCAGGTGCCACAGCCCCATGGGCTCCTGCAAAGGGTCAGGAAAGTGACCAAGGTATGTAAAGCTAAGGTACCTCAATGACCAGAGACAGGACATGTCTTTCCTGGGGTTTAGCCTAAGCCAGAGGTTCCATGTCAGATATCCTGGCTCCTATCCTGCTGAGGAACACACCCCAGAACTCTGGGTCTTCCTGGGTCATGAGTAGAGACAGAAGCCACTCAAAAACACTTTCTGTGACCAAAACTTTAGACCTTCAGGGACAGAGGAACCCATAGTATCCGCCAGCGTTGAGCAGATTCTCGTAGAGGCCTGCGGCTTCTTTTCCCTCCCTTTGTCCCCACTGTTCTGGGAATGCACAGAGAATGCAGAGGGTGGTCTTCAAGGTCTGTGGGTCCAGGCACAGCCCTGGCCCTGTTTGCCTCCCATGGTTCTCCCAGACACATTTGACCCCAGTCCGTTTGAGCCCTGATCTAGGCAGACAGGCTTTGGTGCCTTATTCTTCCCATCCCAGGACCTTCTGGGGTTTAGTTTTTGAGGTCTATAGGGAGCCATTGCCCCTGTCACATACCCCACCAGCAGAGAATCAAAGTCACATATCGATGCTCATGCCAGGAGACCACAGAGGCCACCAATTCCTCTCCCCACTTAGCTTCATAGAGGCTAGCCATCGAGGTGGCTAGAGCAGTGGATTGGAGGGTCATGGTCTGAGGCCATTACAAGTCCCCACCCAGGAGAGCCCCTCTACTGTCACTCACCTCGGATGAAGGTCGGTGTGTAGTTGGGGAAGGAGTCGAAGATGCTGTTGGAGGCCATACCCCACGCTGACAGAGGCAAGGACTCGGCCTCAGGGGGCTGGGTTCGGACCCACTTGGTTGGCTGCTGTTTTGTTATATATTTTTTTTTTCAAGCTGCTTTTGAAAATAAAAGGGGGGAGGTGTTGCTTTTCGTTTGTTTTTTTGGTTTGGTTTCTTTTTTTCTCCCCCTGCTGCTATGAAAAAGAAAAAAAGAAAAAGAAAAAAAAAAAAAAAAAAAAAAAAAAAAAAAGGAAAGAACGCGAGAGTATCTGTGGGCGAGAGAGAAGAAAATCTCCAAGGAAAGAAAGTTTCGGTTTGTACCCAAGAATTTGGCTTCCCGGTCCCACAGGAATGTCTAGCCACAAATTTTCAACAGCCCTATGTGCAGAGTATCATTAAATGGTGGGAAGGGGCTCTGGACAGCCAGGGCGGAGGGGCCTCGGGCTGCAGCAGAGAGGCAAGACTCAGCAGCGGGAATGAATGAATGAATGAATGAGGCTCACCCTCCACAGAGCCCAGGCTGTGGTGGGGGCCAGGACGGCCAGGGGGTGGGGACGCCAGGAGCCAACCAGCTCCTTGCAGGGCCCTGGAGGCAGCGAGGGCCTGGCCTTGTGGTTCTGTGGTTGAGGGACCAGGCCTTCCCAGTGTCAACCCAAGCTCACATCACAGGATGCAAGAAGCCAGCTCGCAGCCTGGGCCCATTGGCTAGGCCACTGTCACCTGGGCCGTGATGTCACGGCCCCTTAGAAGATCTTGTGGCTACACTCCCCCTGCCCCCCCCCCACCCCGAGGCTGAAAGGAAAAGAAAAGAGAGAAAAGGTAGGGTTTCTTTTTGTAGATCTGGCTTCATCATACAACCCAGGAGATGGAGCTAGGAGCCACTGAGTGGGCAGCTGGGTGTGGCTTGCAGTGGCCTAGGAGACCCTTTCTTAACGAAGGGTAGTGGTGGCCTGGCTGCTCTTCCCCAGGAGCCAAAGCTTGGCTCCACCAGAGGGTGGAGGACCCCTCACTGTCGCTGTCACTGCCCTAGGCTGCGGCTGACACCCTGCCATGTCCGTCACCACACTGCCAGGCAGAGGCGTCCACATATGTGGCTGGGTGGCACTTCAGGAGGTTTTATGGGAGTTGGGATTTGTGTACAAATGGGAAACACATGAGGCGGCTGCTGCGGCCTGCCCACCAAGAAAGGCCTTGCTTGGGAAAGCTGTGGCATGGCTGAGCTGGGAGCGCTCCTGCTCTCTGCTGGAACCTGGTCTGGGGCCTTTGCCATGCCCTTGGGCTGTTAGAGCCAGAGAGACTCTGAGCTTCCTGCCTCAGGGCCTTTGCCTTGGACAGGCCTTTCCTGTGCCAAGAGTCAGAAAGGCTCAAAAGACAGGGACAATGCCCCTCTCATTGTCTAAGAAACCTGTCAGGTGTGGAGCGTGACTTATGAAATTTGCCTCGAGAGCTCCCGTGTTGCAATTCGTAGGCCCCATCCTGGAGGCCCAGACAATGAAGACATCATGCCTAAGATCTCACAGCCTTTTAGAATGGGATTAGAACTTCTACCTTTTGCTCTCTTACCGAAGCCTCAATCATTGTCACAGCCTCAGCTGTCCTTTAAACTATCTCCAGACTTCAGACAGGACACCACGCCAGCTCTCACCAGAGTCTGGGCCTGGGGCTACCAGTACCAGCATTGGCTCAGGCCTAACCCTGGGGAGGAGGGGATTATTTAAGGACATGGACCTTTCTGCCTCTCAGCGACACTGGATATTCTATCAGGAACAAGCCCCTAAACGTGTCCCATCTGAACTGTGGGTTTAGTCCTCTGCCCCACAGGCAAGCACTGTAAGTACTGCCGAGGTTGGACATAATTTGAGTTCCAGCTGGTGGTGATAGCTGAAGGGCTCTGGAGACACTGAAGCTGCTCGACATGGGGCCTTCCACTTCCTTTACCCGGCCTCAGTCTGTATTCCTGTGAAATGGACATGACACCGTGGTGGAGGAACCTTGCTGGTTGAGGGCATGACAGCACTGGTTTCCTTGGCAGAAGCTCCATGACGCAACAGGCTCCATTCTGAGTAAGCCAGGCAGGGAACCAGCACCGCTGTGCAACTCCCCCCACCAGTACCATGAATGCATCAGCTGGCCTGGCCTGGGCTGCGGGGTTGGTTGGGGGGCAGTGGGGGGACAGTGGGGGAGGGCAGTCGGTGGTGGAGGCAGCGCCTGCCTTGGGGGCCTTCACAGTAGTTTGGAGCTGCAATATGAAACATAGCAGAAAACTGTAGTGGGAAGACCTCCGTTTTCTAGAAATGGAAACTGAGCCCCACTCCCCAACCCCCAGGTAGGCAGACTCATCCAAGCACCGAGTGAGTCAGTGGGACCTATTGTCCCGTTCCCAGCCCGAGGCTGTTTCCACCCTGCCGACACCACCCCCTCTACTTTCTAACTTCTCACCTCACCTCGATGGTTTTTCCACACCTACAGTGCCCCCCAAGCTCCTGTCACTTGCTCACCCTGAGGGGCTCTCCCTTTTTAGAAACTGAGTCTAGGCTCAGGAACTGGAGGGAAGTCCAAGAGGCTTATATAGGGACCCAGGGGCATAACCCCGGCTCCAGAGCTGGTGGGGTCATGCAATGCAGCAATCAGCAATCGCTGCTGAGTGCCAGGTGGTCCTCTCCCGCCTTTCCCCCTGAGGTTAGAACCAGCTGTGCCTGAAGCCTGACTTTGGTTCCAAGTTGCCGTGAGATTGTGTGGGCTTCACTTTCCTGAGCCTGTGGTATTGGATTCTGAGGCCAATTGTACTTACCTCAGTTTGTAGAGGAGTCCCTGAGAAAATAAGAAGTAGTGGCTCATTGTTGGAGCAGAGTTCCCAGTCTCCATTCCCCTCCCTCCCTCCCTCCCTCTCCCCTCCCTCCCTCCCCCTTCCTCCCATCCTCCCTCCCTCCCTCCTCCCTCCCTCCTCCCTCCCTCCTCCCTCCCTCCCTCCTTCCTCCCTCCCTCCCTCTCTTTCTCCCTTTCTTCCTTCCTCCCTCCCATCCTCCTTCTCTCCCTCCTTCCTCCCTCCCTCCCTCCCTCTTCCCTTCCTCCCTTTCTTCCTTCCTTCCTCCCTCCCTTCCTCCCTCCCTCCCTTCTTCCCTCTCTCCCTTCCTCCCTTTCTTCCTTCCTTCTCTCCCTCCCTCCCTTCCTTCCCTGCCTCTCTCCCTCCCTCTCCTTTGTCCTTTCTTTTTTGCATTGTGTGCATTTGTGTGTATGCAGGACTGTGTATAGGTCTGTGTGCATGTATGTATGTGTGTGCACTCATACGCACACAAAGGATAGAAGTCTCCCCAGCTGCTGTCTTTCTGGTAACCTAGACTGGCTGGCTCGTGGGCCCCAGGGTTCTCCTGTCTGCATCTCCTGCGAGCGCCAGGATTGCAAACGAGTGCCACCCCCCCCCAGTGCCAGGATTGCAAACGAGTGCCACCCCCCCCCAGCGCCAGGATTGCAAACGAGTGCCACCCCCCCCAGCGCCAGGATGGCAAACGAGTGCCACCCCGGAGCGCCAGGATTTCGGATTGCAAATGAGTGCCACCTTACTCCTTATTTCCTGAACATGGGTTCTAGGAGTTGAATTTAGGCCCTCGCTCTCTGAGGCAAACATTACCCACTAGGCCATCTCCTGGCATATAGGGCACAGCGTGGTCTTCTCTTACAGTGTGCTAAGAGTGACTAGAGACATTCAATAGTAAAAAACAAAAAAATAATAAAAATAAAGAGAATCATAAAAATACAGGTAAAAGGCAATTATAAAACTGGATCTTAAGGCCTTTAAGTTCACTGGTTTATTTACTTATTTTTGTTTTGGTTTGTACTGTCTAGTTTTATTTTTGAGACAAAAGTTTCACTGGCTGGCTCAGGCTGGTCTGCAGTTTATAAATCTCCTGCTTCAGCCTCTTGAGTAACTGGGATTCCAGACCTGTGTCACCAGGCCCAGCTTCGGGTTTTTTTTTTTTTTTGTTTGTTTTGTTTTGTTTTTTGTTTTTTTCTTAGCAGCTTGCCTTCACCTAGTCTTTTGAAATATTTCACCTAATTTTCCTAAAATCAGAGTCTAGTGTTAGGCATCAGACCCCCAGGGCTCATAGCATCCCATTAGAGTCCAGGGGAGGAGGAGGCTGGGAGGCGAGCATGGAGAGGGCTGTCACCTGGATCAACAGAAGCAGCCAGGCTGGACAAGGCTGTCTGTCTGGAAGATGCTCACCGCAGGGGACAATGAGAGCCCGTTCAGCAGTGCTGTGGTGGACTTAGGGCCGCCTGGAGAGACAGGATGGGGGGGAGGGGCACACGGACAATGACATTGATGATGACATGACTCGGTCACTCTGGAGATGTCTCTTGTGGCAAAGAAAGCTTGGCCTGAGGACCAAGGGGAATGGGAACTGCACCTTAGCCGGCGACACCATGCTGTCAGATTCACCCGCCTCACACTCAGTGGTGGGTGGGAGTAGGGGGGCCCCCTACAGGGTAACGTGGAAAGAGGGTGCTTCCCAGTAGCAGAGTACCTGGCGCTGGAAATGAAATCAGTCCTTATCCACAAGCAGAGCTGGGACCACGACCTTGGCCATGGGCCACTGTGACTAGGGAATCCTGCTGCTTAGGAGCTTTGGAAGGAGTTCTCAAAGACAGACCCTCCCTGAGCTCGTGACTCCTCCCCATGCCCCAGCCTGCAGCAACTGGCCTTACTTTCAGACTGAAAAAGAGGAATTGGAGAAACCAACGCCACGTCTTGGCCTCCTGTCCTTTGCACAGCCGCTCCCTCCGAGTCAGACAGCCACGGATTTGAGCTGAGCCCTGGACCTGAGTTCAGATTCTGCTGCTACCAGAAAGCCATGTGCAAGGGAGGAAGGTGCTGAGTGATGTTTGCTATCAGACTGGCCAGAGGGCTCTGCTCCAAGAGGCCTGCAGGGGGATACGAAGCTGCCAGTGTCCAGGGCAGATCCTTGCCTCCTCTGAGGTGGCTGGTGAGGCCCTGCACAGAGTGCAGCCCTCCTGGGGACAAGGGTAGACAGGCCTGGCTGGGAGACAGGGAGTTGAGAACCCTGTGTAGAGTGAGATGCATATCTAGAGATTTTTTCCCCATAGTATCTCAGAGATGGACTCTGAGGACACTTCTCCCCTGCCAAGTGGCTTAATTGT